CCGGAGAAGGAGGTGCAATATCCTCCTGTACCAGTCAGATCTGATTTGACGGTACACGCACACAAAATAAAAAAAAAAAAAAAGAATTTGAGTTCTGTTCTGTGCTTTTCTCCCATTCTAACTGGATCGTGCTTTTCTCCCATTCTAACTGGATCCACACAAATTCTCACAACAGGACCAATAGGCAACATCAAAATAGAAAAAAGATTGCGATAGTCAATCTCAAAGATTGAGAACGCCAATACACTTGGTATTGGTAGTCAGTAAATCAGGAGACATGTTGCACTGTAAGAGTCTGCAGTCAGGGACCACTCCAAATTACTGAGAGGCAATGATGTCAGTTTGAGGACTAATGTGCATCTGACTCAAACCAAGGTTTTAATCACTTGCTATGCATCTGAGAGCTGGGCAATGACTAAGGATGACAGACAGAAAAAGAATTGATACATTTGAGCTGTGGTGTTGGAGAAGAGTGCTGAATATCCCAAAAGAACAAGGAGGTATACCTTGAAGAAGGTGCGGCCAGAGTGTCCCTTCATGGAACAGAGGATGAAGTTTTGTTGCACACACTTTGGGCATGTTGCTAGGAGAAATTATTCCTTGGAGAGGAATATCATGCTTGGTGAGGTGGAGGGATGGAAAAGAGAGGAAAACCCTCAACCAGGTGGATTGGCACAGTGACTGCAGCAGTGGGCTTGAGGGTGTAAGAGGTTGTGAGGATGGCTCAGGAGAGGGCAAGGTTCAGAACTGCTGTCCACAGGGTTGCTATGAGTTGTGCTCAACTGGACAGCACCTCAGAGCACAGCAACAATCTGGATTTATTGTGATTTTGATCTGATGGTCGGCAGTGGTAGCTGGGCACCATCTAGTTCTTCTGCTCTCAGAGTAGATATGATTCTGACTCATGTGCACTAATAGTCCTATAGACCAGCTGCTTCTCTGACACTTTGATTTCCTTCTGTTTGTAACTCTGGATGAGGTGAGGCCACTGGTTGTATCTTAGGTGGCTGCTTGAAAACTTTTAAGACCACAGGCACTAATCACTTTACTGGGAAGTAGAACAAATGATTTAAAAATCTATTTTCAAATGGATCGATTTTGGTCTCAGATATATCCCATTCACCTCTTTTTCAAACAAAATCTGTGCTGTCTTAATTATGGTGGCTGGAGAGTATGTTTGGGTATTGGCACTCCTGTTGCTAGGTGCTGCAATGGATAATAACTTACTATATAAAAATTTAATTGAAAATTACCTTAACATTAAGTACATAAGCTGAGAAGAATAGAGAAACATTAGGCTAAAAATAAAAATGGAGGTTGAAGCTCATTCAGAAAATCCTATGTCAGGATATCTTTTGAAACCAGAACTCAGAAATTCCCATATTAAGACCTTTCCCAAGACCAGAAACTTTATGAACCAATGAGCTACTGCAACATCAAACTCATCTCACACCCCCTACAACACACTTGCTAGAATCCCATGAGTCCCCCTAAGCCCAAACCCCAGTGCTGTTCCCCTTGCTAAGTAGCCCTGCATGCAACAAACTTTGAGAAATGTTTCTCAGTGTGGTTCTTGGCTTTTGATCTAAAAATCTTTCAAGAAAAAGATAATTGAAAATTAAAAAAAAATATTTTAAGGGAGTGTCCTAATTCTAGATTTTCCTTGATTGAAAGAGGTAAAAAAGATTCAAACATTTTAAATTCTCAAAGAAAAGCTAAATTTTGACTCTTTCTGTCAAATTAAAGCTTTTTCTGTGTGTGGACTCCCCAGAAAGGTCAAAGTGTGTACTGATTTTCCAAGAAAGAAAAGATTTAAATCGGATTATACAAAATAGTGTCAAAGAAGAGGACAGAAAGATCGATGAGTAATGGTCATCTCAAATTCTTCTGCTTTGGATAATCCTGTTATAGCAGTGCATTCATTTCAAATTAAGACAAAATGGATTTATGGAAAGGCAAAGGAAATATCTGGGGATGATTAATGTAAAGGTCTTTAGAGAAGGTAAAAGTAGTCAAATAGTGTTGACCAGTGTGAATGGATTTTATTGATTCAATTAGGAAAAGTGGAGATGAATTATGCATTAAGCACCTCAAAGGTCAGGGAGGGTGTGTTCAATTACCTGGCATTTCTCTTGGGAGAAAAATGTGTGTCTCATTATTTTATCAACCAAAAAATGAGACATCAATAATAGTTAAATCTTTGGATATGTGTCAAAATAATTCAGAGCAGGAAGAAGGAAAAGTGTAGAGATATCAGATGAAACAATAAATCCATAATCATTAAAGCGGGTGATGGGGACATGGGCTTCATGACTCCATTCTATTGTTTATCAATTTAGCATTTTCCAAAAGGAAAGGATTTTTTTAATAAACATTAAGTGACACACCCACAATTTGCTGATTCCACACTGGTATACTTTACCTGTCATATCGCAGGATGTCAGTACTTTCTGAGATACACAGCATTAATTGCAGACTGGATAATACATCAGGAAACTCAGATTTCACTTTAGAAAGTTGTTGTTATCAAGTTGCTTGCGACTCATAGCAACCCTATGTACAAGAGACCAAAACCCTCCTCTGTCCTGTGCCAACCTCACTGTCTCCCACACACTCATTCCCACCACTCCAATCACAGAATTGATCCATCTCATCGAAGGTTTTCCTCTCCTGAGCCCTTCTCTCAAATGTGATGTCTCTCTCCAGGGACTGGGTCCTTCCTTGCAACTTGTCCAAAGTATGTCAGATGAAGCTTCAGAATCCTTGACTCTACGGAGCACTCCGGCTTCACCCTCTCCAGGACAAACCTGTTTGTTCTCCTAGTAGTTCATGGTATATTCAATACTCTTCTCCAGCACCACAGCTCAAAGGCATCAATTCTCTTTCTTTCATCCCTATTCACTGTCCAACTCTCTGATGCATAGAACATAATTGCAAAGACTATAGCCTGGATCAGGAGCACCTTAGTCTCCAGCCTGACATCGTTGCTCTTCAGTACTCTGGAGAGGTCCCTGACAGCTGACTTTCCCAATGCAATTCATCTCTTGATTTCCTGGCTGCTGGTACCAAGAGTGTTGACTGTGGAGTCAAGTGAACTAAAACTGTCATCTCAATCTTTCAACCATCCATGCTCATGCTGCCAATTGGCCCAGTGGTGAGAATCTTTGTTTACTTTATGTTGAGCTTCAATCTGGATTGAAGGCTGCAGTCCTTGACCCTCTGCAGCAAGCGCTTCAGGTCCTCCTCAGTTTTAGCAAGCAGGGTTGTGTCATCTGCATAACGCAGGTTGTTGATGACTCTTCCATCAACAAGTGATTTCTTTTTTTTATGGTCTTAACTAAGTGCTGAAGCTACTTGAAACTTAGTTTTAATATTTATGAAAGGAGGATGGGGGAGAGGAAATAAATCTATTTTGTCCTCACAACTTTTCATCAGAAAGGACTGGCCACCTTTCTCCCCAGGAGCCACTGCTGGATTTGAACTGCTATGGGGCATGGTCGTTGGGTTAACAGTGCCAGAGGGACTAGGCCTACAGAGTAGGTCACCAGGATCCCTGATGACACTCTGAGGAAGTGCTTGGCTGCTAACAGAAAAGCTGGCATTCGAAACCCCCCCCCCCCATCACTCTGTGGGAGAAGAGAGCTGGAGATCAGCCTCTGTAATGATTTCAGCCTCAGAAAAGCAGAGGTGGTCTGCTCTGTCCTACAGGGTTACCACACACCTACATGAAACTGATGCAACTCAATAAATCTGATGCTTATATACAGTCAAGACATTGCAGCCTCAGTCCAGGTGATCCTGATACCACTAAGGTGATTTTTTTTTTAAAAAGAGTAATATATTTCTTGTTTCCCAGTGTATATAAAAGTTACATTTACAATAGACTGCAGTCTATTTTTAAAAAAATTTTAAAAAATATTATTTTGTGTGTGTATTATCGTAGACTGCAGTCTATTGTCTGCAATTGCATTATGAAAAACTTTAAGTATTGTGACATGGAGACCACAGTGAACACAGGCTAATGGAAAACTGCTGCCGATAGACTTGATTGACACAAAATTGCACAAAGCCTTCAATGTGTGTCCTATTTGTGAAGCGGCAATGAAACAAAGTCTGCCTGGATTGCTCATGGGAGGACAGACACCCACACTCACCTGTGTGCTGACCGGGAGCCTCAGGCCTCTCTCATCCACCACAATCACGGTCATTAGGGTCTGTATCCCCAAGGCCACGAAGGTGTTGATCCCAAACACCAGGGCGTAGCGTTCCACGCTGAGATTGAGGGCAATCTGAAAGCTGACATAAGACAAATGCAGAGTTTACAAAAGAGGGCAATCTGAAAGCTGACACGGGAGCTTTCAAAACAACACAGTTGTGGGCTTTTAAATACCAAGCCACAAACCACATTATTCAGAAGGCTTTGCTTGGGAGCTCTGGTGGCCTAGTGGGAAGAAACTGCACTGCAATCCCAGAGGTACATGGTTTAAATCCACCAGATGCTGTGCTGGAGAAGGAGGTGCAATCTCCTCCTGTACCAGTCAGATCCAATTTGACAGTACACACAAACAAAAGAATAATTTTTTTTTAAAACTGATCAGAAGGCTTTGCTCTGCTGAAGCAGCTTAGGTTTTTGTTGAGTTTCTTGTTGAAAGCATTTCTCACAGAGAAAATAAGAGTAGGAAAGAAAGGTACGGGGGAGTGAAATGTGTTTAGGGTTTTCTTTTCTTTTTAGCATTTTTTAAAAAAATTTTTATTCTTGTGTGTGTGTACCATCAAATAGGATCTGACTGGTACAGGAGGAGATTGTCCCTCCTTCTCCAGCAGAGCATCTGGTGGATTCAAACTTTACACCTCTGAGATCACAGTGCAGCTTCTTGCAACTAAGCCACCAGAGCTCACCAGGCTTTCTTTTCTTATTATTGTGATTTGAGTAAAATTCTTCATAGTAAATTGGAGAATTATGGCGTCAGGATTGGTGGAAGATCTATTAACAATCTCCGTTATGCAGATGACAAAACCCTGCTTGCTGAAACTGAGGAGGACCTCATGCACTTGCTGCGAAGGGTCAAGGACTGCAGCCTTCAGTATAGACTGATGCTCAATGTCAAGAAGACAAAGATTCTCGCCACTGGACCAATTGGCAGTGTCAGGATGGATGACGAAGAGATTGAGAGTGTTCACAGCTTCACTTTGCTCGGCTCCACAGTCAACACTCTTGGCACCAGCAGTCAGGAAATCAAAAAGCATATCGTGATGGGAAAGTCTGCTGTTAGGGACCTCTCTAAGGTACTCAGGAGCAACAGTGTTTCTCTGGAGACTAAGGTGTGCCTGATACAGGCCATGGTATTTGCAATCACTTGTTATGCATCAGAGAGTTGGACGATGACTAGGGAGGACAGAAGGAGAGTTGATGCTTTTGAGCTGTGGTGCTGGAGAAGGGTACTGAATGTACCATGGACTGCTAGGAAAACAAACAGATTCATCTTGGAGAGGATTAAACCAAGCTACTCCTTGGAGGCAAGGATTCTGGGGCTTCATCTGACATACTTTGGACATGTTGCCAGGAGGGACGGGTCCTTAGAGAGGGACATCATGCTTGGAAGGGTGGAGGGACAGCACAGGAGGGGAAGACCCTCTATGAGATGGATTGATTCAGTGACTGGGGTAATCGGGATGGGTGTGTCAGAGGCGGTGCGGTTGGCGCAGGATAGAGCAGGGTTTAGAGCTGTTGTGCATAGGGTCGCTATGAGTCGGAAACGACTCGACGGCACATAACAACAACAAACACTCATATTGCTATGAGTTGTAATCACCTTGACGGTGCCTAGCACCAACAACTCAAAACACTGTCTTTGATGATACAATGAAGTACAGTCAATTGATTACAATTAGCACAACAGCAAGCATCTTCCCTTTCCCTCCCAATGATCCTCATTTCCCCTCATTCTTTTCAACAGCCCTTCTTTTTTTCTTTTGGTTTTTTTGACAGTTTGATTTGGAAGAAAAGATAATAACTTACGTAGCTATGGTTATGAGAAGCATGTAGCTTGACTTGAATATCAGAAAGCCGGCATAGCACACCCAGATACTGGCTGTGAAGTACATGAGCAGTAGAGAACCCGCATCTGCAGCTGAGAAGACCCCCAGAGCCAGCTCTCCCAGCAGGTCCCAGTTGACGTTCACGTGACCCACGGCAAAAGCTGCCACGGCCCCTGTGGAGAAAAGAATTGGCACGTCACGTCTTCTATTCCTGCGGATACTAACGTTGCATGATGTGAACTGGGAGTCGCTTCGTGGCAACAGTAAAAAACGCTGACTTATTGTGACCTTCCTTTAAATGCAAAGGGACTTGATTCAGGTTTGTAAACTTGCATGCATCATTTCTGTTAAAGGTGTAATAACCCCTCTGAATTTGAGTGTCCTTGACTCATAAATTGGGGAAGGCCAACAGAGGACCATTTTCTCTCCCTTCCCTGTGGGGATGATGGAACTCAAGCTTAGAAAAGGTGGAGAGCTTCCTGGCCTAGGACGCCAATTCTCTCTACCTTCCTGAGTGCCATAGAGCTGATGCTTGCAGTCCTGAGCAGCTCTCCAGGCTACAACGTGCATTACAAAGACCGCCTCCTGTCAGGTTCCTACAAGGTGCTGTAAAGTGAATAGTGCATTCTTGTCAGATTTCTTCTTCTAATTGTGAGGTTGCTATTGAGTTGACTACAGCGGACAGCATCCCCATGAACAACGAATTGGAACCTGCCTTGTTGTGTATCATCCTCCTCTGATGTACTTGAGCCTGTTGCTGTCACTGTGCAAACCATCGTGTTGAGAATCTTCCTCGCTCACTGATCCTCCACCTTCCTGAGCGTGACGTCTCCCAAGGACGGGTCCCTCTTAACAATGAGCCCAGAACATATGAGAGGAAGCTTGACCATCCTTGCTTCCATAAAGCACCATGGCTACAGTTTCTCCAAGATATATTTGTTCTCTTCTCTAACACCATAAATGTGAGACCTGGGCCCAACAAACCAATCCCACTTCGTCTGGTTCTCCCTAAACATTAGAGTTCAGACACTAATTAGGGTTCTTGTTATCACAAAGGGATAAAAGAGAGTCTGTGTTTAAAAGGCCTTTACACAATGACTATTGTGACACATTTACCTTTTCTGTACTTTCTCCAAGGACACATTCTCTGATGAGGTTGTCTCCCCATCCCTTTCCTCCTCAGAAACAAATACTTAGAAAGGAATTTATTTTAAACATCATCACACCCTAAAATAGGTTTCTAGAAGTCTCTCTGGACTTTTCAGGAAAGGAAATGAGAAGAAAATGAGCTCCGCAATGGGATCTGAAAGGTTCAATAAACATGTGGGTGTGGGACACCCTGACTTCAAAATAAGTATCTTCAAAGTCTCATTTGATGTGACGGCATTGTTTTGTTAGGAAAATACATGTGCATTGTTGGGGGAACTTCAAAGCTGGCTCTGGGCTCTGCCCTGTCTATCTTCAGAGCACAGCTGTTTTTATTAGGCCACCTCTTTCCTCCTCCCCATACCTCACTTCTTGAGAGGAAGTGTTTTCAATTCTACAAAACACATTCTGGAAAAGGGAAAGTGCCTCAGCCTGTTACTAAAAACCCAGTCATCAATAGCTTCTCATCTGGGTAGGTGGGAGGTGGGATGGCCAAAGCCAAAAGCCCAGGAGGAAACTGAAAGGTAAAGTCAGTGGTCAAAGCTGTTAGAAGCCACTGAGTCAACTCCGACTTGTAGCAAACCCTCGGCGCAACAGATTGCAACCTTGCCCCATCCTGTGCCAACCTCACAATCCCTGTGGACCTTATACCCACTGTTATTGTCCCATGCCAGTCCATCCAGCCCTATACTTTTCCAAGCATCATGTTCTTTCCCAATGACTGACACCTCCCAATCACATGCCTAAAGTTTGGGAGATGGAGTCATACCACTGTTGCTTCTAAGGACACTAGACACACTTCTTCCAAAACTGATTTGCTTGTTCAGTGGAAGCTAGAAACCTTCAATTGCTCAAGAACCTTCTCCAGGGTCTCCCTGTCTTTTATTTCTTAATTTTTTTAGTTTATTTTGGTTTGCTTACAAAATTCTCCTCAGGAGAACTCAGCCTAGATAGTGCCTCTAGGTGGACTTGGGTCTCCAACCGGTCAGTTTCCATTAGAGGGGGTTAGCTATTTGCATTACTCAGGGGCTGCATCCTAGCTTAGGTCTTGTAATGCCAATTCTCTCTAGTGGTTTAAAAGTTTTATACAGATTCGCTCACAAAGTTCATATATATTGTGTTTCACACTATTCTTCATTCACATTGTGTTTCACACAATCATTCCCATGCTTTATAAAATTAATCACCATTGGACTATGCCTGCCATTACTGTGTCTTTTCAGGTCTCTGCTGGACCTTTCCCATTTTCTCCACCCGCTCCCTCCATCCACCAAATTGTGCAAACCTGTTATTTTGCCCCTACCCATTCTCCTGCCTCTGCTCCCACCCCTTCCCTCTTTAGCTCTCCATATATGTTTTAGTAGTTATCCTTCTACTTTTACAATAATGGTATTTTCAGTATGTCCTTATGAGATGGAGTTAGTTCACTCAGCATAATATTCTCCAGTCTCCCAAGTTATGTAGTATTTCCCCCTGCCTTTCCTGTAGTGCACAATACGCAACATTAGAAATCCATATGAAACTATTAAGGACTATACAGACACTCAACAGATGACTCAAGAAAAACCTATAAAAACTCAAGAACAAGAGGAGCTCTGGTGGCCTAGTGGCAAGGAGCTGCAACTACAATCCCAGAGGCACACGGTGTGAATCCACCAGATGCTCTGCTGGAGAAGGAGGGACAAGCTTCTCTTGTACCAGTCAGATCTGATTTGACGGTACACTCACACAAAAATAATAAAATTTAAAAAAAAAACAACCCAAAAACTCAAAAACACAGAGATCTACCCCTCCCAACTGAGACCACGCTACCTCACCAGACCTTGCCTTTCCCATCCCATAATTCTCTGTCCTCTGCCGCCATTGAGGGATAAGGATTCTAGTACCATAATCAAAGATTACTCTTTAAGGGGTATTGTCTTCATTCTTAGTAGTGATGATTGAATGAAAAGATAATGTTGTTAATTGCTGTTGAGTTGGGCATGACTCATAGCGACCCCATGAACAAAAGTCCTGAAGCCTTTCTATAACTATCGTTATTTTTTTCAAAGTTCATAGAGTTTCCAGAGGCATATGGTTTAGGAAGTGGATGCCATTCCTGCTTAGAGAGAGAAGAAATTATACAGAAAAGAACAGGGAACATATTATGAAAAGGAGATGGAGTGGAAGTTTAAGAAACTAGTCTGGAGTTAATGTAGTTTTAGTAGACGTTTGGACGGCAATGGAGAAGCTGGGCATAGGAAGTAATCTTATTCAGAAAGTAACAAGCTTGATAAATCTCTGGTTTTCAAAGGCAGTTGGATGGCCAACAGACACATGAAAAAAATGCTCAAAATCACTGGCAATAAGAAAGATGCAAATCAAAACCACAGTGAGATAATATCTTACCACAGTAGCACTGGCAAAGTTTATCAACGGGGACAAGCGATAAATATTGGAGAGGGTATGACAAGTTGGAAATTCTTTTATGCTGTTAATGGAATTGTAAAATGGTACAATCACTGTGGAAGACAGTGATCCTGCCTCTGGCTTGTCACCAGCTAACTGACCTCTGATTCTTGGTCTCGAGTCAGGAGGAGTGTTGAGCCCAAGGTCTGACCCTTGGACTTCAGGCTTACTCCCCAGGAGAACTCAGCCTAGATAGTCCCTCTAGGTGGACTTGGGTCTCCAACCGGTCAGTTTCCATTAGAGGGAGCTAGCTATTCGCATTACTCAGGGACTGCATCCTAGCTTAGGCCTTGTAATGACAGTTCACTCTAACTAACTGTTTAAAAATTTTATACTGATTTGCTCACAAAGTTATATATATTGTGTTTCACACTATTCTTCATTCATATTGTGTTTCATACAATCATTTCCATGCCTTATGTTTCATAAAACCAAACACCTTTGGACCTTGCCTATCGTTACCCAGAAATGGACCTCTCTATCTATGGTAAACTGATATTTGACAAGGAAATAAAACCTATCACATGGGGAATTTACAACCTCTTCAACAAATGGTGTTGGCAAAACTGGACTACTACCTACAGAAAGCTGAAACAGGATCCACATCTCACACCATAAGCAAAAATCAACTCAAGGTGGATCAGAGACCTGGGAGTAAAGCCTAAAACCATAAAGTTTATCAGAAACAAATTGGAATCAAGTTTAGAAAGCCTAGTCTATGGTATAAGAGACTTAAAAATAAAGTCAGAAATGTACAATCTGCAGAGGATAAAATTGATGAATGGGATCTTCTAAAGATTATTTCTCTGTGCTCATAAAAAACTTTTTTCAACAGGGTGAGAGAAAACCTACCAACTGGGAACAAACATTTGGAAATTCCATCTCAGACAAGGGTCTTCTAACAAAAGTTTACAGAATACTCCTGGGCCTCCAGAAGAAAAAAAGATTGATTACAATCCAATTACAAAATGGGCAAAAGACATGGAAAGACTTTTCCTAGAGGAAGGCATTGGGATGGCCAACGGACACATGAAAAAAATGTTCAAAATTACTGGCAATAAGAGAGATGCAAATCAAAACCACAGTGAGATAATATCTTACCTCAGTAGCAGTGGCAAAGTTTAGCAAAGGGGCAAGCAATAAATACTGGGGAGGATATGGCAAGTTGGGAACTCTTATACGCTGTTGGTGGAATTGTAAAATGGTACAATCACTGTGGAAGACAGTTTGGCATTTGTTTCTAGCTAACTTTTATCAGAACTTTATGGTACTGAAACACACTGATTAATTTCCAAACAAGTCTCATTTTCTACCATAGAGTGTCTTCACTCTGGGGGGAGGGTAGCTCAGAACCTAACACATCCATAAGAGAAGACTCTGTCTACTCACCCCCAAATGTTGAAAGGGCTTCTACTGCTCCGTTATATATGGTAGAACTTTGAGACGGTGCCTTGTAATCCCACAAGATTTGAACATAGTTCAAAACTTGGTTATAACCGGCTGTAGAAAATGCCCACCACAGAGACCAGTATAAAAGATGCTTTGAGGAGTAGCACTCCTTCAAATCTTGGAACCACTGCATGAAAACTCTCCAAACCACTCTCTTGGTCTTAGGGCTACTCAACTGGTCAACATCTAGAGTTCCAGAAACACTGAAGAGCTCTGGCTGGTGCTGCTGCTGCTGCGGTTGCTCCGATCCAGCAACGTTTCCTGGTGGACTTTGAGGAGCTGCTTTGCTGGATTTTGCATGGAAAAACATGCTCTTCTTGGGCATGGGTAGAAAAAGTGAGACCAAGAAGGCCAGGGAGACAGAAGCCATGGTTATGACGTTGAGGTGAAAGTAGGAGACGCCGGCCAGGGAGACGAGGACTTGCGCCAGCACGGAGGCTGCTGTGTAGGCCACCAGGGTGACGCTCCTGCAGTAGCCGCTCACTCTCTGATAGTGCTCCGGGCTCACCACGCTGTAGATGTAGGCGTAGTAGGCCACCTCGGTGGCGGTGACCATCCCGTAGAAGAACTCTACGACCTGCATCGTTCTCACCCCTTGGCCAAAGAGCAGCAGCAGCCAGGTGACGATGAAGCTGATGCCTTGTAAGACGATGACGGGCTTGTAGCGGACATAATCGGTGAGGACGAACACGGGGAACAGCATGGCTAAGTAGGAGTAAGTCCACACAGGAAAGATCTCATTAGTGATCTGCAAGATTAAACAGAGCAGTGTGAGGACAGACACTAGGAAGCAGAATGTACCTGGTGCTTCTGAAACACCTGTAGAAAAAAACGACGCACTGATTGCAGGGCACCTTGTTCTTGTGCCATATACTTGATGTCTTCCAGCTGAGTCTGGCTTACAGGGACCCTGCAGGACAGAATAGAGCTTCCCACATTGGGTTTCTGAGATTATGGAAGTGGACTGCCTCATTTTTCATCCTCAGAGCATCTAGTGGGCTCAAATAGGGGACCTGTAAACTGCTGGACCTAGTGGGGCCAATTTGGGACTTCTGAAGCCTTCCTGACACTACAGGAAAACAATGGAGACCTGGAACCGGAGATGACATACCAGAGAGGTGACATACCCACCACAAAAAGAAACAAGCAAGAGCAGCCATTGCACTTTGCTCAATTATCTTTTTTTTTTTTAAGTTGCCAAAATGTAATTTGTTCTACATGAACCATTGAGGCTGGGAGAAGAGGCCTGAGGGCTCAAGTTAACAGGTCTGTAACAGTCTCCCCTCAGGGGCTGGGGGCTCTGAGTGTTCACGTGAGCTTCTTCCTCAAAGTCAGAACCTCGCCAGGATTATATTTTAGGGAATTATGTTTATCGTAGGAGGACGACGCAATGAGGGTTGCCGAGTGGATTATATTTGGGGTTGCGGGTGGGATTGGGGGAAGTGCGGGGGGGATTGTGTACCAATGAGGGAGTTTTTCTTTTGCTTTTCAAGGAGAGGAGCAAACCAAACGAGGGGGTTGGCGAGGGGGGAGCTGGGGTGTGCGGGGAGAAGGGTGCAACAATGAATGAATGGAATTCCAAAATCTCTGTAGATGTTCATTGAAACGAAAGATAAACAAATTAAAATATTTAAAAAAAAAAAAAAAGATGTTTCAGTCTCGAAATAACCTGCTGGTCTTACCTGGTGTCCAATTCACATTGGCGTTAACGTCTGCAGATAATCAAGAAACCGTGGAGGTGACAGGCAGGGGTCTAATTTGGCAGGGTATCTTGTGAAAATGTACTTGAGTCTATCTGCCATTTTCCTACATTCTTGGTCTTAATTTAATGGGTTGCTAGGGAGGATGCCTAGTGACTAGAAACTGGGCTGGTACTTAGAACCCATCAGCTGTTCCCTACGGGGAGGAGGAAGCTGTCCCTCATGTGAAGATTTACTGTCCTAGAGTCACAACGGATGGTGGTAAAGAGTTAACTCATCCTCACAGAGCTAAATTGTGTTGTTTTGTGGGCTGGAAGGCTGCTACAAATTTCTCCCACACTTTTACATAGCAGATATATGGAAAGAATGAATGTTCATTTGTTCTTACTTGGGATTGTAAAAATCCCCACTTCCTCCCTACCCCAATAACCACTGCCTGAGCCCAAACCCAACCCCTCTGCCACAGTCAATGTAGATGGAACGAGATTCACCACCTTTCTCCTGAAGAGTAGCTAATGGACTTGAACCGCCCACCTTTGGGTTAGCAGCGCATCACACAATGTCCTACACCAAGTGGGCTCCTTAACAGGATTCTAGACATGAGTTTCCACTCGATGTACAACCCAGATGAGCACGATTGTTAACTTACCACGGGAAGGCTCATGTTCTTGTCTGGTCCTGTCAGGTAAGGCACGAGGAAGGGCTCGGAGGGCCTCATCATTGAGAAAAACCCAAATAAGCAGAGCATCACTGTGGGAAGAAGCCAGGAACGCCCCGGCGAAGTCTGGCAGCAGCCCATGGTTGATTAATCTGTCACAGGAGGAGAGATAAAATAATCAAGGACGTCAATGCAGCTGATCATTTCTCCGAAGACACACACACACGTTTCTCAGTCTTCTCTGGTCCCTCAGTGCCGATGGTCGGAACACTCACCGTGACAGTGGAGAATTATCACACGGTAAAAGCACAGGAACTCGAGCCTGTCACTGTAAGCCTCTCATTCTAAAGACAAAACTAATGGTTACTTGAAAACGACACGCTAAAGGACAAAGTCGATCTTCCCTCAGCTGCAATGGTGGGGTCGTTAAGGAGCAAGTAATCTTAAACATTCTGTAGCAAAGGCCACCAAATGCTTCAGCTCTCACAGCTGAAAACAAAACCCCAAACCCCAAAACCTCAACACGGAGAATTTCTTCTATGGCTGGACCGTAGGACGGAAGCTGAGGAGGTAAAACTGGGTAAGTATAGGGCAAATATGTAACTGACATAAAAAGGCTGAGCAAACATCTGTGAATTACTGCTGGGACATGCTAGTTAACACCTATTGGTCAGCCATGAACTGATAAATGGATTTTAACACAGCAAATGAAGCAAGCTCCTCGTCTCTTAGTTATCAAATGCGGTTACAACAGAGATCTATGCTGTAGATACAGGGCTTTAACAAACAGAAATGTATTCTCTTGCTGATTGTTGTTATGTACTGTTGTGTCAGAACTGGCTTATAGCTGAATCTCCACTGGGTATTGAGAGGCAGTAAATCACACAGGAGGAGGCTGCCCATCTCTCTCCCACAGAACAGCTGGTGAAGCTCCCTAAGTTCACGCTAGAAGTCCAATTTCAGGGGAAAGTTTTTCTCTCCATGTCAGTTCTGGAGGACAGTTTTTGCTTCTATCAGCATCTGTATGTCTGAGATTCTTCAGGCATTTCTTGACAATGAGTAAGGAAAACCAAAGAAGAACTGATGTCTTTGAATTTTTTTTTCCTTTATTTCTTATAATTGAGATACTTTAAATATATTGTAAAATACTTTTTTCTTATTAATCATTTTAGAGAATGTTTTCTCTCACAGTGACCTATGAATAAAGACATAAAATGAGAATTTCTATAATAGTTTACTTTGCATTTATATCATCTGAGGACAGAGGAAAATGCTAGAATTCTAATTTTTTCATTGAAGAATTGAAATTAATGTTGTCACTGTTAGGTACCATTAAGTAGAGTACGACTCATAGGGACCCTTTGAACAAGAGCTCTGAACTGTATTTTATCCTGTGTCATACAGTCACATGCTCAGACCCATTGCTACAGTCACTGTGTCAATCCACTGGTTGAGGACGATGTCTTTGAATTTTGATGTTGGTGACGTGTACTGCATGCAGCATGCACTGCCAGAAGAAGAAAGACATTTATCTTGAAGGAAGAACAACCAGAGACACTTCTCATCACAGGCTATTGTTATTGTTAGGTGTTGTGGCATCAGTGCAGACTCCTAGGTGCCAAGGACCAGCACGGCGACCAGGGTCTATAAAGGACGTACTATCCTCCTGGGCTTCTGCCATGGTGATTTTGAGGTACCCTCTCTGCTTGCATGCACTCTCCTTTTGTTTCTTTTGAGACAAAGGGTGTGAGAGGCCGTATCTTAGGGATGCACCCTTACATCATATTAGACCTGTGATGGCATGAAGTTGTGTGGCATTCCACCCACTTAATCCTCTAATGACTGTTTAGCTTATCAAGGGAGGACACCTTCCCTATGACACCATTAAACACTAATGCTTTCGGGACACGATTCAATTCATAACAAGGAGTAAAGATGTATAAATCAGGGATCATTCTGTGCCTTTGTTGTTATGTGCCATCGAGTTGACCATGACTCATAGTGATGCTATGAACAGTAGCATTGAACCCTGCTCTATCCTGGGCCAGTCTCACTGGCTTTGACACACTCACTCTCATTGCCCCAGTTACTGTGTCAATCTGTCTTCCTCTCTTGCACTGTCCTCTCACCCTTCCAAGCATGATGTCATTCTCCAAGGACAGGTCCCTTCTGGCAACATGTCCAAAGTATGTGAGATGAAGCCTCAAAATCCTTGCCTTCAAGTGACAGCTTGCCTTCAGCTTCTCTAGGACAGACGTGTTCGTTTTCTTGGCAGTCCATGGTGTGTTCAATACTCTCTTCCAGCACCATAACTCAAAGGCATCGATTCTTCTTTGATCCTCTTTGGTCATTATTTCAGCTCTCTGTTATTGCCTAACAGGTAACTGTGAAGACCATGGCTTGGATCAGGCTCACCTTTTGCCTCTAGACTGACATCATTGCTCTTTAGCATTCTGGACAGGTCTCTGACAGATTTTACTACTGCAATTTACCTTTTCATTTTCTGACTACTGGTGCCAAGAGTGTTTATTATGGAACCAAGCAAGTTGAAATTATTAACAATCTCATTCTCCATCTGTTTTGATGCTGCCAATTGGCCCAATGGTGAGAATTTTTGTTGTCTTGATATTGAGCTTCAGTCCATATTACAGACTACAGTCCTTCACCTTCTACAGATGCTTCAGATCCCTTCAGTTTCAGCAAGAAACAGCATTCAGCAGGATGTAGGTTGTTGATGAGTCTTCCTCCAATCCTGACACCACATTCCTCCTCCCAAATGATCTGTTCTGCATACAGATTGAAAAGGTATGGAGACAGGACGCATCTCTGGTACACTCCTTTCCTGATTGTGAACCATGCAGTGTTTCCTTGCTCTGTTCTAATGACTGCTCCTGATCCAAGTATAGGTTTTACATGAGTACAATCATGTGTTCTAGGATTCCCATGCCCTTCAAGGTCAGCCAAAGTTTGTAGTGAACCACACAGTCAAATGCCTTTGCATAGTCAATGAAACACAAATAGACATTCCTCTGGTACTCTCTGTTTTGGTCAAGTCCATCTGACAGTTGTGATGGTGTTTTGTAGGGCCATGGCCTCTTCTAAACCCAGTTTGTATTTCTGGTAGTTCTCTGTCAATATACTGTTCCATTTGATTTTGGGTGATATTCAGCAAGATTTTGCTTACATGTGGTATTAGTGATACCATTTGATAATTTCCATATTCTATGAGATAAATTTTTTTTGGAGTGGGAAATAGGGACCACTTCCAATCAGCTGACTGGGTTATGGTTCTCCATATTTCTTGGCACAACCTGTTGAGAACATCCAGGAGTGATTTTTTTTGTTGAAAAATATCAATTTTCTGGGGTCTTGTTTTTTTGCCGATTTCTTCAAAGCAGCTTGAATTTCCTCCTTCATTACCATTGCCTCTTGAACATAAATTGCTTCATGAAATTTTTCTGTGTTAACCAATTTTTTTTGGTAGAGTGACTCCGAGTACTCCTTCCACCTTCTTTTGATGCTTTCTGGGTCATTCAATATTCTGCCCATAGCATCCTTAAGTATTGCAACTCAAGGCTTGAATTTGTTCTTCAATTCCTTCAGCTTAAGAAATGCCAAGCGGGCTTGCCCCTTTTATTTTCTGGCTCCAGTTGTTTGCACATTTCATTACAATACTTTGTTTTGTCTTACCAAGCTGTCTTTGAAATCTTCTGTTCAGCTTAACATCCTGGATTCTTTCCTTTGTTTTGGGTTCTTGGTGCTCTAGTGCAATATTCAGAGTCTGTTCCAACATCTATCTCGGCCTTTTCTTCCTCCTTTGTCTTTGTAATGACCTTTTGCATTCTTCATGAATATTCTTCATATCCTCCCATAGTTCATCAGACCTTTGCCCATTAATTTCCATGGCCTCAAACTTTTTTCTGAGATGTTTTTTTCATTCAGAAAGTCAAGTTTTGGTTCTTGTGGGTTTGTCTGCCTTTACTAGGTGTCAAACTTATATTGCATATTGGTTTAGCAGCAGAAACGGCAATGAATTGCACTGTCATCCACCTCTGTGACTTTTTAAAATTATTCTTCTAAAATACTTTCAGTAGAACTATGTGATGTCTAAACAAGATCACATCCTAAGTGAAATGAAAACAGCATACTTTGAATTCTTTTTCATAACATTGCTTACTGAAACTGAGGAAGACCTGAAGTACTTGTTGCAAAAGGTCAAGGACTGCAGCCTTCAATATGGATTGAAGTTCAACATCAAGAAAACAAAGATTCTTACCAGTGGACCAATTGGCAACATCAGTATGGATGGTGAAGAGATTGAGATTGTTCACAGTTTTAGTTTGTTTGGCTCCATAGTCAACACTCTTGGTACCAGCAGCCAGGAAATAAAGAGACAACTTGCACTGGGAAAGTCAGCTGTCAGGGACCTCTCCAGAGTACTAAAGAGCAATGACATCAGGCTGGAGACTAAGGTGCGCCTGATCTGGGCTATAGGCTTCACAATTACATGCTGTGCATTGGAGAGTCGGACAGTGACTAGGGATGATAGAAAGAGAATTGATGTCTTTGAGTTGTGGTGCTGAAGTAGAGTGTTGAATATACCATGGACTGCTAGGATAACAAACAGGTTTGTCCTGGAGAGGGTGAAGCTGGATTGCTCCTTGGAGTCAAGGATTCTGAAGCTTCGTCTGACATACTATGGACATGTTGCAAGGAGGGACATTGGAGAGGGATGTCATGTTTGGGAGAGTGGAGGAGCAGTGCAGGAGAGGAAGACTCTCGATGAGATGGATCGATTCTGTGATTGGGGTGGTGGGAGTGAGTGTGTTGGAGACGGTGAGGTTGGCACAGGGTAGAGCAGCATTTAGGGCTCTTGTACATAGGGTCGCTATGAGTCATAAGCAACTTGACGGCGCATAACAACAACAACAACAAGCATTGGTTGATAATCCATTGTGATCAGACTGGTTCTGGCTCAGCTACTCCTTTAGGACAGTGTGGAGCTGCCATAGAGGGTTCTGAAGGCTGTAGATCCTTCTGGAAGCAGACTGCACGTCTTCCTCCCACAGAGCAGCTGGTGGGTTTGAACTGCTGACCTTTTAATTAACAGATGAATGCTCTAAGTACCACACTGCCTGGCC